GAAGCAGACTCCCTGCCGAGCAGGGAGCCCGATGCGGGGCTCGATCCCAGGACCCCGGGATTATGACCTGAGCCGAAGGCAGACGCTTAACGACTGAGCCACCCAGGCGCCCCTAGATGGTAACCTTTTTAACTTTAATGATGGGATCCTTTTGAGGTAAAGAACTTTTAGATTTTAATATGGTCAAAGCTGTCTTTTAAAAATATAAACAGGAAAAGAAATACTAAAAATGGCCAGTAGGCGTATGAAAAAATATTCAAAAAACCAAGGACATGACATTACAATAATAGTAGGCTGCTTTTATCCACCGGAATAAAAAAACTAAGAAGAACTTTAAAGATGACACACCAAGTGTTATTTGTGGGAAGGAGAAAAGGGTCCTCTCAGAAGCTACTCACAGGAACCTAAACTGCTGCAGCGCACAGCGCTTGGCCCCTTTCGCCTGCCAGCCCCACTGTGGCCTGCCCTGGAGGAATACGCCCACGGTGCCAGAGAGGGCTGGGTTAACGTGCTTACAACAGTGGAAGACTGGAAATAAGCTCACGTTCACTATAAGAGGAAGGCTACATAAGCTGCGGGGCTCCAACACGTGACATACTAGATAGAACTTTAAAACAAGACAGATGCATCCGTCATGAGATAGGAAAAGGCCCAAGGCCTATTTTTGAGTGAGAAAAGCAGGGCTCAGAATCACAATAGTGCACTATCTTTTGTGGATTTTAAAAGATGTTTTTCAGAGAGCAAACCCCCCAAATTTATGTACATATTTATACATACTACACCGTGTAAACAAATTGAAGAATTACTTCTTAAGCTGCAGAGCAAGCCTACACATGTTCACTGCCTTATTCTTTGTCTTCTCTATACCTAGAAATCGCATAATTGAAAAATCTTTTTAAGGAAGATAAAGGGTTTGGGTGGGGGGATGGGTGGCACAGGAGAAGGGGATTTAGAAGCACAGGGAGAATCAGCCTTAGACTTTTAGCTGGTGCCAAAGGTTGAATGCAGTGCTTGAGTTGCTCATGACTTTCTTTGTCCCTGCAATGAAGGTTCCTTTCTGAGAAATGAAGGTCATGCAGGGAAAAGCATGGGAAAGAGCTGGAGAGCACGAGACAGAGAAACAGAGAGAGACTGAAGCTCTGGTGCCAGCTGTGTCCAAACAAGACCAAGTCTTTGAACTTCAAGTTATGAACCTCAAAATTCAATTCCTTTAATGGCTTAAACAAGATGAGCACTGAGTCACGTACAGAATTAAGTCCTCATGTGGTACACCTGAAGCTAATGTAACACTATGTTAATTATACTCGAAGAATTTGTCTAGCTCGGCTATTGGCTGGGGTACACATCGGAGTCACCTGTTGCTCGAAGACTAATTTGGTAGGTGTGTGGCCTGAGGAGCCGTTGTGGGATGTGTAACTTTTTTTTTTAACTGAAGTATCACATACATACAGAAAAGAGCAAAAACTCTTCACGTATAGCTTGGTGAATGTTTAAGAGTGAAATCACCCTTATGAACAGGACTCGGTTTGGGGTCAGTGCTCGTGTGCTGATAAAAGTGTCTGCGAGGTTCACCGTGGCCGTAGCAGTAAGACTGCTTTTTTTGTTCCTTTTGACTGCTGTATCGTATTCACGTGTGAGTCTGAGACAGCGTACTGACCCGTTCCACCACCGACGGGCATTTGGGTTGTGTGCGGTTTGGGCTATTATGAACAGTGCTGCCGTGAGTATTTCTGTACTTGGCTTCCGACATATATTCATATGGACAGATCCTTTCCAACTTCATGGCTTGCCCTCTTTCCCTAAATGGTGTCTTTCTGATGTTAGTGAAATGTAATTTATCAACACTCTATGGTTGGTGCTGCCTGTTGAAGGAAGAAATTAAGGTTCTTTTTCCCCACATGAATATCCAGTTGATCTGGAATCACGTATGGAAGACTTCGCTTTCCTTTCTTGTTGCTTTGCCATGACATCTGTCACCCACAGCTGTATGAGTCTTGGCCGTGTTCTACAAGTTCCCCAGGTGACAGGAGCCCCTAATTAAGACCATCTGCCAGACGGGAGGTGGCCAGGTACTCTGCCCTCCCCTCTGGGCACCTGGACCAATGGTGGCCCTGGGTTTTAGCTGCACTGTCACTTCTCCAAGTCCAGTCCACCGTGGCCTCGGTCCTGGATGACCCCAATGACCTCCTAACTGGTCCCTGGCCTCCACACTTGCTTTCTCCAGGCCCTTCTCCCTGCAGGTGGAGTGAGCCCTGTCCTGTGCAACACACCAGGCCCCAAGGGCCTCCCCAGCCCCCTCTGCCACACGCTTCCCACTGCCCTACCCTTCTAGGCCCTTCAACATGCTTCTCCTCCCACCAGCAATGGCCTTCTCTCCTTCTTAAGTCCTAAACGCCCTCAGGTTTCAGCCAAGCCACTTTCTCGGACCTTCCCTGATGCCCCAACCTAACCAGTAACTCGATTTCCTGTGACCATCTGCTTTGCTTGTGTCTCCTGCCAGATCTGGAGAGCTCCGAGCAGGCGGGAACTGTGGTCCCCCCGGTCTCTGCTGTCCCCCAAGTCTGGGCTGGCGCAGGGCGGTTGCTGGGACCGTGCTTCTTCGCTGAGCGAAGGAGGCAGGCTGCCTGGCTTTACCTTTGCAGAGGAACTGCTGAATGGCCCGGGTGCCGGCACTGCACACTTCCTGCGGGGGGTAAACCATGGACGAGGCGTCGAGGCTCAGAGTCTGTAGACACAAGGGGAACCTCTTTATACATGTTGTCAACACAATCCCAAAGCACCTGGTTTAGTTACGAAGCTGTGTTCACCGTGTCCTCTGCTGAGCAGGGGCAGCTTACCTGTCTTGTTCCTGCTGCGTTCCCAGCACCTAAAATGGTGTCTGGTGTGCAGCCAGCACGTGATTCACGGTTTTGGATAAAAACTTAAATAAGTGGGAAAAAAGGAAATTGGAGGACAACGTACAGCATAAGATTCCGTGTTTGTTAAAAGAAATACTCCTATTCTCTCACATTAGTATATTTATAAAAAAACGTGTGGAGGAATATATATCAAACTCAAAATGGTTTCCTCTAAAGGGGAGATCCTGGGGTACTTTCTACACGAAATTGGAATTTTTTAACAATGTGATTTTTTAAGTAAGAAAAAACCCAATGTTTATACGGGCACACATGCACCTGCTTCTGGGTTTATGAGGCCCAGGAAGCAGGGACCTGGTTCACACAAATGCCCACAAAGCTGTCCACAGCCCTACTGTGAGGTTTCCCGTTGTTCTTGTTTGTTGAATCAAGCCCTCCTGCTATCCTCTTCTTCCCAGAGGCCTCCTGGACTTGGCACGAGTTATCTAAAGCCCCTTTCAGGAGCCCATATCCTCTCTGCCTGGGACAGACAGGCCCGCCCCAGGGGAAGGCCTGAGGGACCAGGCCGGAAGTGGCCGAGTGGGGAAAGCAGCTCAGACGCCCCCCAGGCCTGGCGAGCACAGCCCTTCCACCCGGGGACACGCACTGCAGGGGGAGCCTGCCCTGGAGCACAGGAACCAACTGCGTGAGGTTGAGGGGCCCGAGAGCAGAAAACCCCATCCTGGGAAGCCGAACCTAAAGAAAATTCACCCACATGGGTAATACTGATCACCAACAGGGAAGTTGGGTGCTGGGGCTGCACCACCTGGTTTGGTGGCCACGAGCCACGCCTGGCCATGTCGGTTTACGTTGTAACTGACTAAAATGAAAGCGAATTTAAAGCTCAGTCCCTCAGTGGCACCAGCCACAGGTGGCCGCGGCTGTGGGCCGCGGGACACACAGATGCGGGTGTCCCTGTTATCGGCGGGAGCAGCAACTGGACAGCGATGCATGCGGTCAGACCCCAGCTCGTCCTGTCCCAGCTGTGTGCCCTTGAACAGGGCAGCTGACTTCCCTGAGGCTCGGCTCGGCTCCCTCCGAGTTCAACGGGCACGATAGCACCCAGCGGCAGGGCTGTTTGATGGGCAATAGATAAAACGTGAGAAAGACCTTGGCCTTAATCGAGAATGGTCACTTATGGTCTCATCCTGAAAAAGGGTTTGTCCAAGGTGCCACCAAGAAGCTCAAAAGCTTTTTTTTAAAGAATGGATGTAAAGTACAGCACTCCCAGAGCTCCCACTAGCTGACGTACGAGGGCTTCAGAATCAGCGTCGCTGTGAGCTGTGCGCTCAGGTACAGTGGCCACTAAGCACATGGGGAGTCTGGGTGGCTCAGTCAGTTAAGTGTCTCTCAATTTCAGCTCGGGTCATGATCTCAGGGTCGTGAGATCGAGCCCTACATGGGGCTCTGCGCTCGGCGGGGAGTCTGCTTCTCTCCCTCTCCCTCCGTCCCTCCCCCTGCTTGCATGTGTGTGCTCTCTCTCTCCCCAGTAAATAAATAAATCTTAAAAAAAAAATGTACAAGTCAACATGTACTTCCTTGGTCATACTAGTCACACTCCAGTGCTTGAGGGCCACACGTGGCTAGTGGCTATCGACTTGGGACAGCACAGTCACTGGACATTTCCATCACTGCAGAAAGTTCTGTTGGACAGCACTGTCTCTCCAGCCTGCCTAGGGAGAGGGGCTGACCATCCTGTCCATTCTCAGGCTGGCTGCCACAGCGGGAGGGACCAGCCCCTGGGGTCAGCCCCCTTCCTTTGCGGTCTACATGCTCACCCACCCACTTCTGATAAAGATGCTGATAATCAGCAGTCTGGACTGAGAGGTAATTCACCGATGGCTCATCAGAGGGTTCTGGGATGTTGGCCAGACTATGTGTCATCGTGGAGAGGTAAGTCCCTGTTCCAGAGGCTGAGGTGCACAGAGGTGAAGAGCACACTGCCTGGTTTTCAACCCCATCTCTGCTATCACTGCTGTGTGGCCCCTGGGCAAGCTCCTTAAACTGCCCATGGCCTCGCTGCTTCACCTGCAAAGGGGCACAGCGGTATCTGGCTTGCAGGATATTCTTGAGGATTCAGGGAACTGATGTAGATTAAGCACCTAGCCTTGTAAGCACCAGATAAATGTGGGCTGTCTTGTCATCACAACCGTAAGGGCCCCCACCTTCCCTGAGCAAGCTGCCTTGTGTCAGTGTCTGTTAAGGCCTGAATTGTGTGACCCCCAAAAACATATATATGAAGTCCTAATCCCCTGTTACCTCAGATGCCACTGCATTTGGATGTAAGGTCTTTAAAGAAGTAAACAAGTTCAAAATGAAGTCACCAGGCTGGGCCCTAATCCAGTATGTCTGGTATTCTTATCAGAAGAGGAGATTTGGACACAGGCCCATTGAGAGGGAAGATGACGTGAAGACACAGGAAGAAGAGAGCCATCTACAAGCCCCGGAGAGAGGCCTCAGAAGCAACCAACCCTTCCCTTGGACTTCCAGCCTCCAGAGCCGTGAGAAAATAAATCTCTTGTTCAAGCCACCCTGGCAAACCAATACAGTGACCCAGGAAGGGCTTGTCCCCCCTCCCTGTTCTGATGCTCAACTTCCACACCTCCAAGTGAGGCTGCTCTCCCCGTCACAGAGCTCTGGGCTCTTCGCGCTCTGGACCCTCCAAGACACAGCAACTGCCAACCACACCAGATCCCCCATTCCTCCCTTAACACCTCCTGTGCTGTGCACCTCCTGCGTTCTCTGTACTGTCCCCTGCACCTGAATGCTCCGTTACCCGTGTCTACTTCTCCGAAACGAGTTCCTCTCTCCAGGTCCGGCTCAAACACATCTTTCACAGAGTGTCGACCCTACCAGGATTCAGCGTTCTGTCTTCACTCCAGGAGTGTGTATTTCTGTCACTGTCACGGCAGCAGAAGTCACGTAATGACAACTGCTCGACATCGCCCTCTCTGTGAGCTAACGACCGAGCCCAGCACTTCCTGACGAGCGCAGGCACTCAGGAACATGGAAGGGGGGTGGGTGGGCCAGGGCGAACCCCAGGCAAGAATGGTTCCGCACTTACTTCCAGGGCTCGAACATGCGCGAGTAGCTGTGGTAACCTCTGCATCTCGTTCTCGCTGATGTCGAGAGTACGTAAGCTTCGAAGTTCCCCCAGGGTGTCTGGAAGCTCCTTCAGCTTGTTATCTGGAGAGATCCCAATGGCACAGCTCAACTTCCCAAAGCCCCTCCACCAGCTTCCTGCCTGACGCCGCCAGGACCTGGGGGCACGTGGGTGCCTCACTCTGATCCCGGGGTGTGCGCCAGGTCCTGAGACCTGAGGCTCCGTGAGGAAGGGCACAGGGATCCAGTTTCAGTGGCCTGGGTTCAAGTTCTTACTCCACCACTTACTAGCTGGGTGACTTTGGAAAATGGACTTTACCTCTTTGGGCCAGTTTTCTCATGTAAAATGGGGATAATGATACTGTTTGGGCTCATAGGAGCATCAAAGGATTCCACGAAACTATGCATATGAAGCCCTTAGCCTTCAGCACAGTGCCTGTCACACCGTAAGTGATCGATAAACACGGTATCATTATTTTTACCATCATTTAGATGTTACCAATGAGTAAACTAAGGCATTTTGTGCAGAAAGTGCTTAAGGACAACCAGAGGACACGAGGGAGCTGGGGGTATGGGAGGCAAGCACCCTGCATGTGACTCTGGGCTCTGTAACTATCACACTGGGTGGTCTTGAGCAAGTCACGGCTCCCAGCCTCTTTTCTTCCCCTGTCAAGTGGGGGGCACCCCTCCCCGTCCCTGCCCGATGGACTTGGGAGGCTCGCTGCATCGCCAACTGAGGAAGCGCTCCTCCCCGAGGGTGAAGCGCTCGCTGTCAGAACCTGTACCGTGGCTCCTGGACGCTCTCCCCCAGCTAGGCTGCCACTCCAACCGTGCCTCATTACTACAGATATGGGGGCCCGAGTCCGGGAGCCTGGCTGTCAGAACTGGCTAGCCTCCTCTCTGTAAGGCCCTAAAGAGTCACAGGAACTCTCCAGACACCCTGTCTCTCATTACCATGGAGACAGACACCAACCCCCACCAGAAGGGGGTCAGTCCATTTTATAGGGACGCTCCAGGACTGGCTGCCCTCCTGCTCAGTGGTTCCCAGGAGGAGCACTCTGTGGATGCTGGCCGAAACAGCCCAAAGCCGACCGAAGTCACATGGACAGGGCGTTCTGGCCCCTACCTTTCACGTTGAGGGTCTGGAGCTGGATCAGGTTCCCAATGGAACGTGGGAGATACGTCAGTTGATTCCTTTCCACATTCAATACCTAAGAGAAAGGGGAAAATGACACGAGAACCCAGACACAGAGAATCGGGTCTAGCCCTGCTTCAAGCCAGGCAGCATCTGGGTGCCGCACACACTTTAACTCCCCCTGACAGCCCTGCGAGGAAGGCACCGATGGTTATGATCCCTCGGGCTCAGAGTGGTGAAGTCACGTGCCCGAGAGAGCAGAGCCAGACCTGGAGCCGGTTCTTGCTGAGATTCCACCATTTATGGAGACCACAGAATGCCCCATGATGGTCCCACAATCAAGCAAGGAGGAAGAAGGGGATGAGCAGGTTCAGGGACCTGGGGGAGGCAGCCTATGACAGGGCTCTAGGAATCCCAGTGCTGGGGGAAGGAAGCTGAGCTGCATAAAGGCAGCGGGATATGCCCAAGGTCTCAAGGCTGGCAGCTGGTGGTGCCCAGACAGGATGGCAGGTCTGCTGGATTCCGCAGACCGTGCTCCCTCCTGGATGTGGCACTGTGAGGGGAGCAAGGCCAACAGGATGGCATGCTAAGTACTCATTAAACATTGATGTGATGGAAAGCTAAGGAGTCATTAAAAATAACGTGGCAGATGAATATTTGATGAACCAAAAGATGGTTAGGAGTTACTGTCAGGTATCCAAAAGTTACAAATCAATGAATGCAACAATTCTATAAAAATATACACGTTAAAAAAAGTCCCCAAAGATCCTACACCCAGGTATTCACTGTGGCTTCCTAAGTGGTGACAATTCCTACTATCCTGCCACATGTTCTGTGTGCCCTTGGGCACGTGACAGGCATCCCTCTGGACCTCAACTTTCTCACCTGTAAAATGCAACATCACCCACATCGTAGGGTTGTTCATTCCCATCATTTCTTGGTCTCCTCCACGTTGGAGGCAGCGTGTGAGGTGGGGGTGCAGCCCTCCGAGGACTACGTCTCCGTCAAATCAGTAAACCCTTCATTAGGAACTACGCACGGCCATTAGTGCTCCCAAGGAAACAAGCTGGGGCTGAGACAGAGGCCCAGAAGGTGGATCTACTTTGACAGGGAGGTTGGGAGGGTTCTCAGGGACATTTGGGCTGACAGAGGATGAGCCGCTCAGGCAGAAGGGAGAGCTGAGGTCCGCACGGAGAGGCCCTGCGCAGTAGGGCAGGAAGGCCAGAAGGAGCTGACTGCCGGGAGCGAAGGGGACAGGAGAGGAGGCGGGACGGCAGGTGGGCCCATCGTACAGGGTCTGAAGGGGCACAGTGAAGAGAATGTGTTTTAATGTAAGTGTGAAGGAAAGCCGCTTCTTCCTCTGTAAAATGGGGCTAATGCTAGCACCTGCCTGACAGGGAGGCTGCAGGAAATCAGTAGATAATAGGAGGAAAACGCTCAGTTCCTTCATGCCCTTGTGGGCATGCGGGGGGCCCACGACTGATCCGAAGTGGGACGATGAGTCAGAGTGCTGAATTCATCATTTCCTGCTTCCTCCTTGTGGAAGCTCACGATGAAATCCCAAAAGCACAAGCCAAAAATATGGCATGGAGATTCCCACAGCTCAGACTCCCATGGCCAGGGCATCACCGAGCTTCCTGACGGGAAAGGGGCAGAGGGCGCCGGTGCCCAGGGTGGCCGTGGCCAGAGCCCCACCAGAACTCTCCAGGCTCGTGCAGTTTCTCACTTGCCGTCAGAGGCAGGTGTTGTGTGTCCTGCAGCCATACCTGGAGGGCAGTCAGCTGCCCTATGTCGTCAGGAAGAGCTGACAGCTGATTATCGTGAAGATCCAGAACCTGCAGGAGGAAGACAAGGTTAGGGGTCACAGTCACCAACTGAGAAAGCCCGCAGACCTCTGGCTCTGGGGAGGTGAGAAGATACCGGGGCCCCTTCCTGCCTCTGGTGTTGAAACAACACCAGCCCCTCCCTCTCCAACTACGGGATCATTCCATCTCAGCTCCTTTTTCAAAACCATTTCTTCCTTTTTCTTTATCAAATATTTATTTTTAGCTGTTGAGTGAAAACAGTATGCTATGAAACTGTATGCCTAAGTATTTATGTTAAAAAGGAAAACCCTCAGAGTATAAGCACATTTACGTAGAAAAAGACTATCAAATATGCAATAATATACTGACGGTGGTTCTCTGGAGTGTGAGATGACATTTTTCCTCCTTTGCTTAATTGTATTTGCTAATTTTTTTAGCAATACAAATGAGCAAACAAGGCATAGATCATATATACGGGTACATAAATATGTTCCATTTACATATATATGAAATAGAAACATGCACAAGTATAAAATACATATTTAAAAGATGTATAAAATGTTATTTGTTTTACTACAAAAATAACAAGTGTTGGGCTAGAATAATAAAGAGAAGTAAAAACCACCCCAACTCCTACAAACCAGAGTTAACCACGAAAGCCACTCTGATGCCTGATGCTGCCATTTTTTTCTATGGCGTGCGCCCACGGTCAGCTCATGTTCACGTGGAATAATCCCGAGGCCACAGGCCACATGTACTGTGAATATGTCCCAGGCCCTGTCCCCGAGAGGCTGTCAGGAGGAAGTCAGCCCCACACCGACCGCATGATGCCCGGCGTCCCTCCGGGGCCTTCTTGTTTGGGCCCGTCAGTCTCCACACTCTGAGTTCACCTGCTCTGAGTTTTCTGCTTTGCCTTTCTACCTGTTGGGCAAGTTCCCCTGAAGGCAGGGCCTATGGCTGGTTATCTCTGCAACCCCACCCCATGCACAGCACTCAGGTGCCCCATAAACTGTGCTAATCCAACCCCAGCCTGACTATTAAGTTAGGCTCGTGTAGCATTAACTTTAACAAAGGGAGCTTGGCTGTCACGTGGTACACCAGGCAGAGTCCCTGAGCCCTGGGAGAAGGGCCCCAGTACCTTGATGGTTATGAGACTCAGGAGGCTGCAGGATTTAGGGAGCAGGGAGGTGAGGTGATTCGTGTGGACAACCAACACCTGTGTGGGAAAGACGTGTGGTGTGTCAGCCGGAGGGAGAGCAGCAAGCACGGCAGCCAGCCTGGTGTAGGATGCACTGCAGACCCTGCATGCCCGCTCTTCCCTGCTTTCCCGGACACTGCAATGGGGGACGTGGCTCAGAATCGTGGAACCTCCAAATGGGGAATCAGATGACCTGAAAGCCTGTAATTTCAAGGGTGGAAGGGATCTTCGAGGCCTAATGCTACCTCCCATCCTGAAAAGGGTCCCCATGCAGCTGTCCTGATTGTAACCTCCCCCAGCGTCAGCATCGTCATGTGGGGAACAGAGAATAATAAAGTACCTGCCTCTGAGGGCTGCCTGTACGATTAACAAAATAACAGACAAAAAGCACTGAGCCCAGGGCTGGCCTGGGGTCCGGTGCTCAATCCGTGTCATCTGTTGCTATTTGTATAGCATCGACCCCCACATAGAAACTTCTAGTGTCAAGGAGCTCACTAGGCTGTTTCTATGGAACATTTTTTACCTCCCTTCATTAGATAATTCATTTAGAATGCTCCTAGTTGTCTACATGCAAAGCCGCGATGCCTTTCCGAAAAATCATTCATTCCATTCTTACTCTCTCTGCCGGGTGACCAGAACGAAGTAAGTACAGCTTTCATTGTTATGAACAACAAGGTCACCCCGTGTTTACTGCGGCAGGCGTCATACCCGGTGCATTCCAGTCTCCACCTCCCTCCCTCCCTACGTGTCACTCTTTTTTTTTTTTTTTATTAGTGATATATTTATATTTTAAATATTGATTTTTTTTTTATTAGTGATATATTTATATTTTAAATATTGATCTACGTGTCACTCTTTTAATTCTCATGCTACCTCTGTGAGAGTAGAACTAGAAATAGGAATGTCTTCATTTCACAGATGAAAAAAAAGGATGTAAGAGTTGGCGGAAGTTGCCCAACTCACGAGGGCCAAGGCCAGGATGTGACCCAGGCCCATCTGACACCAAACTCAACTCTTCCAACTGTGCAAACACCTACTTCAAGCTGAAAGGGTGAAAATCAGGGAAAAGGGAGATGTCTACGCCAAGAAGACAGTGCCTAAAAGTCCCACCTGATTTCAAACAAGCAAACATGCAATAAACAAGTCTATGAAAATGAAGATCCACCTTACCTTCTTCTGTAGAACTTTGCATGTTGCAAAAGCTCCAAATGGAATCTAAGATAAGAGAAAGAAGAGTCAGTGCCTCCCCTCCTGCCGGTTTTTGTTTTCTGAGTGGCACACATGTGAGGGAGAGATGCGGCAGGAGGTGATCAAGTGCAAAATCCTCATGTGCAGAGCAGCCTAGAGTGTGATGGGGGAGGCTGGTGAGGAATGCTGCTGGGATATGGTCAGCCCTCCCCTGCAATCAGCTGGCAGGAGACTGCCCTGCCTGGCCCCAGCCCGCACACCATCCCCAGCCCACACACCATACCCATCAATAGCTCTATTGGGGCAAAAGAAAGATCTCTGGTGCTATACAGAAGCTGGAGAAACCCAGATTCTTCCAGTTCCCTAGAAATCTGTGGGTACATTTTCTAGACTCCTTGATTCTCATAGACTGTGTTGAGGCCACCGATCATCTCAATTCTTTTGAATGAGAATAAAATCCAAGAACACTTCACTTGACTGATGCTTCTGGTGTTCTAAAAGCCCCAGTCCACATCTGTCTTTCTCAGAGACATGTGATCCAAGAAAAAAGGACAGATCAAATTCACAGCCAGAACACCAGCCCCGATTTACCTCTGAGAGCTCACATTTAGAGATGTCAAGAATGTCGTCAGCCCCAGCTTCTTTTGCCTGACAGTAAAAAGAATAATAAAAAATGCGTTCAAACAAAACACCTTTCAGAGCGGACAAACCAGCCAAAGAAACACAGGATCAAGTTGCTGTAAGAGACCAAAGACACCATCTGGTTCAACTAATCCATTTTTCAGGTGCACCAATGATCCCTGCTTCAGTGGGGCTTGAGGTCCAGCACGAAAGAGCAAATGAACAAGTAATGACAACTGTCATCAGTTCCCTCGGGAGGGAAGCAGAAGGCACTCCCAAGTACCAGACGGGAGGCCTCACTGGTCTGCTTTGAGTCAGAGATCTCCTCTGGGGGTCAGGGAGGCAGATGGGAGGGAGGGAGCACGTAGCTTGTCTGGGGGCAGCGTGGAGCCCCATTCCATGAGGGCAGAGGCAGAGATGGACTCAGGAAACCCATTTTCCCTCACCAGACACATCTGATACTCCAGGCGTTTCCGAGCGTCTTCACTGGGTTTCCGCTTCCGGAAGAAGAGCGGCATTCTTTTTTCTCCCCCCTGGAGTAATCTTCAGGACTCTAGGGCACAGGAGAGAAATCAGGGCCTGGGGACCCAGGACAGGCAGCACACTACCGCAGAACGCATAGCTGATCTGCCGGACTGTATGACCCTTGATGGCTGTGTCTGCGTCCATCTCAACCACCCATCTGTGCCATGAGCCCAGCACAGCAGGTCTTTCTAAGGATGCTCTTTGAGAATGTGTAACAGACGGGACCGATGAATCACTTCTAGTTCCTGAAACACTGTCAGAGTGGCATCGGCAAACCAAACACTCCACCAGCTACATCATAAGCAAAGAGATCTCTTAATTGAATAAAAATTCCAAGGCAATCCTCAGACACCTTACCACCCTCACAGCTACTGTTCCATCTGATTCTCACCACAGCCCGGTTTAAAGTGATGAAACGGGCGCATGAGCTCAGTGATCTGGTTATATGGCCTGGATTGTAGCAAAACCAGTTTGGAGCTCTGTTCTTTCGAGTCCTCATACTGTGGGGTTTGCCCAACTCCTTCATGCTCGAATAACTTAGCACACACTAATTACAGTGTCCTGAACTCAGAAGCCAGGTGCTTACTGCCTGCCCAGTACCTGCAAGTATCAGCACTTGATAAGGGATAACAATGGGCCCAGGAAGCAATCATCCAGGAAAGCTTATGGTTAACAGCACAGGCTTTGGGATGAAATGTAACTGGGTTTATGGCAGTTCCTCAAAAAATTAAAAATAGAAATACCCTACGACCCAGCAATTGCACTACGAGGTATTTACCCCAAAGACACAAAGGTAGTGATCAGAAGGGGCACCTGCACCCCAATGTTTATAGCATTATCAATAATAGCCAAACTATGGAAAAAGCCCAAATGTCCATTGATTGATGAATGAATAAAAAAAATGTTGTGTGTATGTATATACACAATGGAATCTCACTCAGCCATCAAAAATGAAATCTTGCCATTTGCAATGATACAGCTAGAGTGTTATTATGCTAAATGAAATAAGTCCCTCAGAAAAAGACTAATACTATATGATTTCACTCATATGTGGAAATTAAGAAAAAAAAAACAGATGAACATATGGGAAGGCAAAAAAAAGAAAGAGGCAGGCAAACCATAAGAGGCTCTTAACAATAAAAAACAAACTGAGGATTGATGGAGGGAGGTGGGTGGCGGATGGGTTGAATGGGTGATGGATATTAAGAACAGCCCTTGTTATGATGAGCACTGGGTGTTATATGTAATTAATGAATCGCTAAATTCTATTCCTGAAACCAGTATTACATTATATGTTAACTAACTAGAATTGAAATAAAAAATTGAAATAAAAAAAATGTAACTGGGTTTGAATCCCAGATCTGCCATCCACCAACCATATCACCTTTGTTCAATCTCTCTGAGCCTCAGTTTCCTCATCTGTATAACAATCTTACCAATACCTGGTTCTGGGAGGATCCAGTGATTTCATATATGTAAAACTCATAGCACATTACCTGGCACATAATCACTGCTCAATCAATGTCAGCCACATAGCACTATACACCTGACGAATATTTATTCAGGGCCCACTACAGCTAGGGGGAAGATGCAGTTGAAAAGATACACACCCACTCCTCAAGGGGAGGGGTAGAGATCACAGGTCTCCTCCCATAGCGGCCTGGGCAGTCTGGGGAGACTGCCAACCTGCAGAGCTGGCTCAGGCTCCTCTTGTCACCCCACTTGCCAGCAGGGGTGGGGAATAGTCTAAAAACAGCCCTCCCCCATCCCTCCCAGATGACAAGCTCTTCTGCTCCCCAAGGACTAACCCTCTCTCATCCCGTCCCCAAAGTCCAGCCCTCCCACCACCTCCCCCACAGTGATCATCCCTTCTCCATCCCTCCCATAAGATCAGCTCTTCCCAACCTGCTCCCCGATGTCCACCCCTCATCCATTCCTTCCCCCAACGTCTAGCCCATTGGAAGAACCACACCCATTCTCCCCAGGCTGGAGTGGGGAGAGCCCCACCTGGCTTTGTGGGTGGACAGGTCACCGATGCTCCTTCCCACGGGTGGACCTGACGGCAGGCAGATCACTCGTAGGGCTTGGTCATGGACACAGGGTCGCAGACCACCGGGCACGAGCCCGGGCGGAGCCGGAGTCTGGTCTCCTCCAAACGCAGAAGCTGGGGACCGAAACTCAGAATCTCAGAAAGTCATGCAGACCAGGATGACGAAGTCTAAGACTGAGAACCACAGAATCTTGGAATTAAGAGTTGGACCAAATTTAGACCTGAATAAAATTGTTTCGATAACCAAAATGCACATATCACGAAGGAGCTAAAAGGGGACCGGGGGTCGCCATGGCCCTACGGTCTCGGAATGGGGGTGCGGACCCCTTAGGGGAGGGGCGGGGCTTTGCGACCGGGACCAAAGGGTGACCCTCACGATAAGGAAGAACAGAGAACAGCGGGGCCCTGGGGCAGCCCTCTCTTGTCTACCGCCCCCCCCAGGCGAACCTCCCCGAACCCCCCCCTTCTGAACCCCTAGTTACAACTCACCGCGGAGCCGGCGTCAACCTCGGGCACCTGCCCACAAGTAACACGGCGGCAAGGGCGTCGCTGGGAGGCTGGGCGGAGCCGACGGTTCTCGCGAGAATCGCGCTTTCCTGCCTATATCCGGCGCAGTCAGAAGACCTTCCGGTCTTTTGGGTTTCGGCTCGGGGCGGCAAAGGTGCAACTTTCTTCGGTCGTCCCGAATCCGGGTTCATCCGACACCAGCCACCTCCGCCATGCCGCCTAAGTTCGACCCCAACGAGATCAAAGTCGGTGCGTGCTTTAGATGTGGCTGGGGCTGCGAGATGGAGCGGAGCATCCCTCCTCCCCGCAGCCCGTCGGGCCTCCGGCCCAGCCGCCGTTGCCTTTCCCACGCCGGGCTTTTTTAAGTTGCTGCCTGCTAGAGGCCTTCGCAGTGCAGCGATCAGGGCGCTGTGAGGTCCTGGCCGAGTCTCTGACTCATTCTGGGCCTCAGCTTCCCCACGTGTAAATGGGGAGGGAGGACCGGACGACCTGTGGTGGCTTTGCAGCCCGCACGCCTTAGGGTAAGGTTTGTGCCCGGGCGCGTCCCCCTTGCACTGGGTTGGCCGGTGGCCGGGCTGTCTCCACGCCGGCCCGGTGCAGGCCTCGGTAGCCGTAGCTGAGCCGAAGGCCGCTGTCCCACGTGGCCCTTGGAGCGGTCCACGTCAGGGGGGAGGCGGCTCGCCCGCTGCGGTTGGGTGGCTTTCTTCGCTCCCAGCTGAGGCTCTTGGCGCTGTTCCGAGAATTGACAAGTGGAGTGGTCAGCCCCAGAAAGATTCGGAGAGAGGGCTGTGGCTCCGGGCTCCCTCCGCAGGGACACTGATCTTTTCTTTCTCCCAGTGTACCTGAGGTGCACCGGTGGCGAAGTCGGTGCCACTTCTGCCCTGGCCCCGAAGATCGGCCCGCTGGGTCTGGTAAGTCATCCTCGTGGAGGGCGGTTTCTTAGCTTGCATTGGTTTGTGCAAACGAGACTGGATCTGAGGTGCCTTCCACGTTGACGGATTGGCAACCCCTGCTGCACCTCGAGCCTCTGAACTGGAAGGGCTCCCATAACAAGGTCTTATACGAGATTGGAACGTGCTACTTTGAAGCTGTGACTTTTCACTCTCCAGGGTCAAGATCTTAACTGCGGGCTTAAGTGTACATGAGGCGTGGGCTGGAGGTCTTGTGTGAAGGTTTAGAAGAGTAGCTTAGTGACACTGGGCAGCCTGCTTAGCCTGTTGTTTAGTCAGGGCAATGGGCCTATCACTGATGGGGTTAAATATCGGTAGAGAGGATTAAATGGGATGTGGGTTAAGATCCTGGTGAACTTAACATAGAAGCTTGTATAACCTACTCATTAATAGGACCAGCTTCACTGATGACCCCCTCCCTATCTACTCACTTCTCCATTTTGTGCTTTTACTGAGCTTGTGTTTCTCTGAATAGTATTAGGCCTTTATTCCTTGGACATTGGTCTCCTGAACCAAACATTGTTCCCACGTGGGCTTGCTTAACCAGTGTGTTACACTTTTCCTTGGCTCTCCATTTAGTTGGCACCCGCTGAACGTCTTTCCTGTTCAGGCTAGTGGTCGTTAGGAAGTCTAAGTAGTAAATGCCCAGATCCCATCCTTGCAGACACCTGGTGTCTTTAGAATTCTCCCAAGTGATTTGAATGTAACCAGTGTTGGAAATTCCTACGTTATCGCATGGGTCCTTATGGGAGGGTAGGTAGGTGAGGGACTTTGCCATCTTACGACCCTGGGCCTGCATCCCCAAACAAACTTCACCTCTAGCCCCATCTCCCTGATGTCTGCTACTGTGATAGCCATGCCTTGATTTGGTAGGTGCAGTTACGTGCTTCAAACAGTGCTGTGTGTGCTGGCCCAGGGTGTCAGCCAAGTGAGAGGGATGGGTTTGCAGACTGTACATCAACTCAGAGCACAGTGTGATGATACACCTTTCTTTCTCTAGTCTCCAAAAAAGGTTGGTGATGACATCGCCAAGGCAACCGGTGACTGGAAGGGCCTAAGGATTACGGTGAAACTGACCATTCAGAACAGACAGGCCCAGGTACTTGGTTTGAGGGGGAGGGCAGAGGTCGCAACCCTCTGGGATTCCTGGGGGGAAGGTTTTTGCCACCTGCAACCAGTTGTGAGCTGCTGAGGGCAATTTTAAGTGTGGGGAAGGCTTTTTTGAGAGGATGGATCAAGAAAGAGCAAAGATGTGGGCCTAATACTAACTCTTGTCACCTGTGTGACATTGGGCAAATCACTGTGTCTCTTAGGCTAGAACATGTTTCGATTGTGACAATAACTCGAGAATGTACAGCAAACCCAGTCTGGCCCGTGTTTTTTGAGAGCCAGGTTGCAGTATTGATGGTCTTCCTTAGAGGGTGGAATGGGGCTTATTCACATGGAGAATCTCTTCTGCAGATTGAAGTGGTACCTTCTGCCTCTGCCCTGATTATCAAAGCCCTCAAGGAACCACCAAGAGACAGAAAGAAGCAGAAAAACAGTGAGTGGCCTTTTCCCTGGTAATTTGTGAGTGGTGTCATCTACCCAGTGTGATAATTTAGCAGCATGTTTTCCCTTTGATGAAACCTAGGGGGAGGAGTAGAGGGATTTGATAAGCTGTTAGCCAGGCACCCCCAGGAAGTGTCGTGTGGCTCCCCAGTCCCTAACGTGAGGCTGGCCCTACTCAGTGCTTGCAGGAGGGAAACAGTAGGGTGAAGTGATAATGATAACCAGTTATCAGGCCACTTCTGAGCTGGATGATGCTCTGAACAGCTTAACCCCAGTAACCAAAACTTGTCTTTTTTCATATTTAAAATAGTCTCATTTGTATAAGATTAGCAAAGACTTGATTTTGCCCCAGCCACCCGCCACTGCACCCGATCAGTTTCTGTTGGCTGGTGCAATCCAGTGGTGAGCTGATAGTAAACCCCAGCTTAGGAAACAGGGTTGTTCTGCATGTGGATGACTCTGTGCCGAAAGCATGGGAACAGCCTGGAAATAAAGACAAGGGAGTGCATGATGTGGTCTGCTTTGGCCTTGGGTGACCAAGCTTAAACGCTGTTTTTCTTTTCTGCAGTTAAGCACAGTGGAAATATCACTTTTGATGAGATTGTCAATATTGCCCGACAGATGCGACACCGATCTTTAGCCAGAGAACTCTCTGGTAAGTGGACAACATAGAACCACCTTGTTATATGGGGTGTATTCAGTGTGTGGTAGCATTTCCCAATTTGAAGGGAAGTTACTGTAAGATCTTCAATTTGGGTGGCAGAATGGCTTGGTATCAGTGAATATTAGGGGCTGGAGGTGTTTGCGTATGAAGGGACCTATGGAGACTTTGCATTAAGAGCTTACGTAACTAAATGGAGTTCGGAATCTTGGATTAGAGGAGTGGGAATGTCATTCCATAAAATAGGATTAATTCCTCCTTGCCTTCTGTGAAACTCCCAAGTATTTCCCCATGGGTGTCTGAGGATCGTGAGGGACTGAAGCTCCTCTGATGCTACTTTTCTGAATTCTAGGAACCATTAAAGAAATCCTGGGCACTGCCCAGTCTGTGGGCTGCAATGTTGACGGCCGCCACCCTCACGACATCATAGATGACATCAACAGTGGTGCGGTGGAATGCCCAGCTGTAAGTGACTTCTGTTTCACTTGCCTAAAGCAGGGTGAGAGCTGGAGGAAGGCTAACGTATTCATGGACATGGGCTGGAACAGTTCTAGAAATGGTCAGTAGTGGGTTTGGACTATAAGATTTTTTTTGTCCTACTGACATAAATTTCTTTTTTCTTTCCCACAGAGTTAACTACAAGGGAAAATGTTTCAATAAAGGATCATTTGACAACCAGTGGACCTTTTGATGTGGCCTCTTCCTTGGGGGAGCTAGCTCCTTTGTGGTCAGATGGTGGGCCAGGGTGGCAGAACCTGTGAAGTAGTAGCTATTTGGGTAACAAGTTCCTTCTGGGTGACAGATTGATGCCCTGTATGGGACTAGCTCAGAGAAGACACCTCAAGTTCTTGGCCTTTTGTAGGCCGCATATGCATAGAACTCTTCATAAGAATAAAATTCTTTGTCAAAAAAACTTGTACCTCAGCACGAATACGTGGCAAGGAATCTCCATCCCAGACCAGTTTCAATCTTGAGTTGGGCTAGGGGCCCATAGCCCTTAATGCAAGCAAGCCCTATCAGTTCCAGTGTACAGCTAGGCTTAAGAGGCACTGATGTGAACCTGACCTTTGTCTTGAGTCCTTGAGGGCCATTTTCTAATGGCATGTTTTGGTCTTTCCGAGTCTTGCTCTTTTTCATTAGTTATGTTCCTTTTGACTCGAGCTCATGACTCCTTTCTACTTCTAAGTGTGTGGTAAATGGAAGGATGAACCAAAATACCTGGGTACTGGGGTGAGCTACACCTGAGTAGCTTAGAGGGGCTTCTGGGTACCAGCCTAAAGGGAGGGCTTCGGAGTAACTTACCCAAGAGCTTAATGTCCTTGGCATTAGTTGTATTCTTGCCTTAAATTTATCAATAGGCCTTTAAAGTAGGTGGGTTTTAATTTCCTCCCCTCCCCCATAAGCAGGGTTGGAGAACTGTAGTGGGAAGGATTACCTGAAAATTCAGGTGAATGAGGGAGGGATAAGCCTTCCAGGACCTGGGCCAAGTGGCCAAGAAACCAGAGCTAGAGGCCTTGGGTGATAGCGGAATAGGACTCAAGTCAAATGGCTACCTAAACCCAAACCACATGGGTTTATTTCGGAGATGAGGTCCTGCTGGCTGGGTATGAGGATGGCATGTCAAAAGACAAGACCCAGGACCCAGCAAGGGAGAAAGGGGGCCAATAATGAAAATCTTGCTGTAAAGGAAACTTCTCCAGGAAGGAAAATGAAGGCCCCACTGGCCCATGAGCTGGGGAAAGATGGTAGGCCTCAGGTTGTCCTAGTGGCTCCACAGAGGGGTATACCATGCTGAGGCATTTCACTGTCTTCTAGATTAACCCTCAGCCTGTTCTTACCTTCTGGGTGTTTTCTTTATAGCAGCAGCAAACACTTGAACATCTCAAGTACAGATTGGGCCTGGCAGTGTCTAGATTTTCCTATATAGAGCTTAAAAGAGTGGATATCCCTCCCCCACCCCGATGAGATTATAACATGAAGAACCTTTCCTCAACTTGAATTACTCCCTATTATGGAGAAACTGTTCATTCCTGTCCAGTGTTGGTTCTTTTAATAGCCCTCATTCAAGAACCATCCCCAAAATACCTGGCCTTTAAGAAAGAACCAAGTCCTTCACTCATTAATCACTTACTCCTTATGGTTTCTGCAGTGCTTGCTATACAAAATGCAGTTTGGCTCACTGAATGAAGGTAATCTCCAGTATAATTTGAGTTGGGTTCTTGGTGCTTGAAGAGTTGAGAAAGAAGAGGGCTCCTGAGACTTTCCACCTGCAACATGTAAAATTGGGGCTATTTATTAAAGGTGCTTTTGGTGTGGCTCTGAGCTACAGACCATAAAACTCTGAGGTCTCCAGATGTTTTTCAAACTACCTGCATTTCCTGCCAGGTCCCCACCCACTTTGGTCCTATCTCTGGTTACTCTCCAGCATGGAGTCTCTGGTGTCTGATGAAAGCGGAGCTACACCGGAAGGCCTTCCCACACTCCCTACATTCATAGGGCTTCACACCAGTGTGAATCCTCTGATGCTGACTAAGGGATGAGCTCTGGTTAAATGCCTTCCCACACTCATTGCACTCATAGGGTTTTTCTCCTGTGTGAATTACATGATGTCGAATAAGGGCTGAGCTCTCACTGAAAAATTTCCCACATTCATTACATTTATAGGGCTTCTCCCCAGTGTGGGTCTTCTGGTGGATTATGAGATTTGTGCTTTGGCTGAAGGCCTTTCCACATTCGCTGCACTTGTAGGGTTTCTCTCCCGTGTGAGTCCTCTGATGGTTTGTGAGGTTTGCGCTCTGGCTGAAGGCCTTCCCACATGCAGCACACTTGTAGGGTTTCTCCCCGGTGTGGATTCTCTGATGCTGAATAAAGGCGGCACAGTAACTGAAGGCCTTCCCACACTCACTGCACTTGTACGGCTTCTCCCCCGTGTGGGTCCTCTGGTGGTTTGTGAGATTCGCACTGTGACGGAAGGCCTTCCCGCAGTCGCTGCATTCATAGGGCTTCTCCCCGGTGTGAATCCTCTGATGCTGAACAAGGGCTGAACAGTCACTGAAGGCTTTCTCACACTCGCTACATTTGTAGGGCTTTTCTCCGGTATGAGTTCGCTGGTGCTTTGTGAGGTTTGCGTTCTGGCTGAAGGCTCTTCCACATTCACTGCATTTGTAGGGTTTCTCTCCGGTGTGAATCCTCTGGTGCTGAATAAGAGACGAGCTCTGGCTGAAAGCCTTCGCACACTCGCTGCACTCGTAGGGTTTCTCCCCGGTGTGAGTCTTCTGGTGCTGAGAAAGGGAAGAACAGTAACTGAAGCCTTTGCCACACTCGCCACATGTATACGGTCTTGCTCTGTGGGGTTTCATAATAGGGGAATCCTTCCTGAAGCTCTGTGTGTGTGTTTCCCATTTCCGGGGTCTCACTTCTGTAGGAACTCTCTGTTGTGGAGAAAGGACTGGTCTCAGGTTGAAGCTCTTCCCCAGTTCAGTGTTCCCGTGAGCAGACTCCCCAGGGGGCAGCTCTATACTTGTGTCTTGGAATGAATCTTCAGAAATGTCATGCTCGGGTGGCGATTCAGACATAATCTTCCAGTCTGAAAAACATTTAGAAAAGCATTTCTCCCCCCTTCGGTGGAAGAAAAGGTACTACTGAAATACAAAAGGCTGATGGAGTTGGCCGAGCTCCCATGCAGGCAGGTCTGATGCTCCACCCCTTTCACCCAGAACAGCTGCCTCACGTTTCTGTTCTCAACCATAAATATTGACCAAGATGGCTCTTCAGAGACATTAGCACGCCTTACTCCCTTTCCTAAACTGCCAAAGGATACAGAAGTTTACCCTAATCTCCCTCAGATGCGATGCTCCCGTATTTCTGACCCTTTCCTCTGCTTTGGCAACTACTGGACAGTCTCCACTTGTCTTTAGTCTCACAATTCTTGGTGTGGTTTTGGGCAATCTGTTTACCAGGTTTAAATAATTCACTTTACAAAGCTGATGATCAGTGCCAGCAAGATGAATTCTTTGACCTATCAAATCAGCTAGATTTCAAAATTCTAGAATGTTGCTAGGGGTGCAGCATCATGCGATCTTACACAATGGTGTGACCACCTTTCTGGAGAGCAATCTGGTTGCATGTGTCAAAAGAGTCTTTAAAATGCTGACATGAGAACCGCACCTGTAAGAATCTGTCCTAAGAAACGAATGAGAAATTACACAAAGCTGTGCTGACAAAAGCGCTTACGGCATTATTTGCCAAAGAAAAGCAAACACCTAAATAAATGTTTAATAAAGGAATGACCATAGTATAGCCAACAGAGGGACCCCTATGGAGGCCATGTTTGAAATGGGTACACTATTGTTCCTTCTGTAGAAAGGTATTTACTGAGGAAACACTGCAAGGATACACAGTGTGAGTGTAAGCAGTGTTGTCTTTGGGTTGTGGCATCAGGCAATTTTTATTTTCTTCAATGCTTATCTGTATTTTTTAATGTTCTCCAATGTCAGTATTATAAAAAAGATAAAAACATTTCAGAGGATATGCAGTGATAAAAAGAAACCTACTGTTACTTGAAAAAAGGAGCATGGAAACTTAACACTGTTATTTCTACTTTAGAAAAAAGTACAAGCTCTGGTCTGAGCCTCCCCATTAGGGGGCACCTGGCTGGCTCAGTCGCTAGAGATTGTGACTCTTGATCTTGGGGTCATGAGTTTGAGCCTCACATGGGGGTTGGTAGAGATTATTTAAAAGAAAAAAAAAATTTAGAAAACAAAAATGTATCACTGCATTTGTGATATGAAGAAGATGGAAAGGACCTCTGTGTGGTGGGATGACAGGGGACCTTGATTTTTTTTATCCTGTTCCAAATCTCAAATTAACCTATTTTACTAGAAAAATCATTTTAAATAGAATAAATAACATTGCTTTTATAATCAGAAAATAGGTCTTTTTTAAAAGAAGAGTTAACGATTCTTAACCCTTTCTGGGATCTCCCTCATTTTAAGAGAAAACTTTATAATGTGAGTACTGTACACTACTGGGAAACCGTGAAGCACAAGGCCCCATGCACCTCTCCGACACTGGGGCTTGAACATAAGGAGGTGGAGTTTCAGGGAGGGCTATGGAGCTTCTTTTCATGAGCGTCAATTTTCCTGAAGATTCTTTCGGTTTCTACTTATTTCTCAGAGGAGAGAATAGCAAGGTTAGTTCTGGGTGACCTTTATTTGTATTTCTATATGGAATCTTGACCCAGATAGCTTGGGTTTAAATCTTGGCTCCACCTCTTACTAGCTATGTGATTGTGGGCAAATTAATCTATTTCTTGGATGCATTATCTATAAATGTAGCTCTCAAAGAATTACTGTGAGGATTAAATGAGTTAAAACATATAAGGGACCCTGAGGGATAGTTAAATGTCTTATGAGTGCTTGTTATTATCTTAGGGTTTTTCCTTGTAAACCTTCTGAAATGGTTTCCCTCCTGAGAGCACGTGCCTACTAATGCCCAATCTACCATGAGCACAGCAGTCCCAGGGCATCATCTCCATGTAATTCAGTAGTTGATCATATGTGGCTTTGACAGCTCTGAAAACTTGACCATCTATCAGAAAACATGGAAAGAAGAAGAAAAGTGCCAAGAAAAGCAGCAGTAGGGGAAAGGAAGAATTCAGGAAACTGCATGATGCTCATGAATCGTCCTATCTCCGCCCACCTTACCTCTCCCCCTGGCTCCTGTAGGAGACTAAGGAGGTCCACACCAAATGTGCCCAAAACGGAACAACTGGTTTTCCCTTTCCAGCCAGTGTCTTCGTCTGTCTTCTTGTTCATGGTTCTGCTCAGGCCAGGGTCGTCCTTAATGCCCCTTCCACCCCCTCACATCCAATTCACTGGCAAGTCCTATTGGCTTTAACACCTAAAATGTCCTGAATCCTTCCTACCAGCCACCATCCTCTCTCTCTGGAATGTCTGCAACAGACTCCTAACTGATCTCCCTACTCCTATTCCTGAACCCTGGAAGTCTTATTCTCCATATGCAATTTTTAAACACAAATCAAGTATGGTCCCCTTCCTGCTCAAAACCCTCCAGGGCTTATCTTACTATGTGAATAAAATCTGAATGCCTTACCGTGGCCTCCAAAGCCCTGAATGATCTGTTCCCTGCCTACTACTCTCCCCCGGCTTACTGAGTCCTAGGGTCTTCTGATCCTAATACAAGTCAAGCTCATCCCCACCTCAGAGCTTCAACACATGCCATATCCCAGAATGTTCCTCTCCCACTCACTCACATGGCTGGCTTCTTCTCTTCCTTCAGACCTCAGCCCTGACATCACCTCCTCCAAGTGGTCTTTCCTAGTCATCTGACTTACAACAGCCCCCAACCTCCATCTGTATTCCCATTCTCACCTTCATACTCCCCATCACTATTCCCTTATCCTGCGTTCCTTCAGAGTATGCCTCACTATCTGACATTACATCAGTAATTTTGTTTACTCATTTTATTTATGTTCCTCACATCACAGGATATAAGCAGGGCCTATGTCTTGTTCTCTGTTGTACCTTCAGTAGCTAAAGCAATTCCAGGCATTTACCAAATGCTTAATGAGTATTTGTTGACTGAATGAGTAACAAATTCAATGTGAAAAAGGCAAACTGACCAGCTGGGCCTGGGAAAATGTTAACATCCACAACAGAAGTTCCTAAAGCAAGCAGTGAGATGAAGGTACTCTACAGACCTGGGGCTGCCATGGTGGTGGGGGTAGGATGGGGTACCGGAGGGCTCTGAAAGCAGCCCAGAGCGGCCGAGCAATGCCCAGGTTGCTGTGAATCTCAGAGCAGAGGTGTAACACCACGGAAGCAGGGTATCAGTTACTCCAATAGCCAGACTGAAACTCTTCTCAAACTACTTCACGATCATACAGCTAATACAGCACTCCATAGTTGATAACTTTTTTTTCATGTATATTAGTTTGTAAAATCAGATTTGGTGATAACACCACTTCCCAAGTTGTTTCTAATAACGTGCTGATCTGACCTGTTTAGGATCCTGAAACTCTCTGAGGCTGTGATGAAACCTTTTTCCAGAAAAACTCAGCCATTGCCCTAGCCACATAACCCCACATTCAGTTTCTGAAATTCTACACAGGGCGTACCGCCCGGGATAAAAGGCCCCGCACGGCGGGCATGGTGCCGGGCAGCAGAGGGACCACCGAGGCTCCTGTAAAGGAAGGATTTCAGCAAGCCTGAGTGGTTCCTGGGTAACAACAGGGCTGAGGTAACGTGTGACAGGCTGTTTAGAAAGTAGAGAGTAAGATGGGAAGGAGAAGAGTTCTGATGGACTATGCAGAAAATCTGCCAGACTTTGTTCTCACTGCCTTGCAGCCACAGTAATCAGAAAGGAAGATATAAAGCATTAGGCTACACTTTCAAACAAATTGTAAGCTTTGTCACCTTCAAGTTCATTTATACTTCTGATGCTTTAACTTTTAAAATATCGGAAGTGGCTGGAACCCCAGGGAGAAGCTCCTGAGGCCCGGGCAGAGGTCACACATCCACAGTGGCTGAAGCATGAAGATGGGGGTGGAGTGAGCAGCCCTGGATGAGGAGCACGAGATAAACACAGCAACTATGGCTTCCCTTTTGTTTTTCCTGAGGTCCTCAGTATTAGCCCTTTAGGAAATTCTAGCAGGGTCACATAGAGGGAGAGAAGGCAACCAATTAAGGGCCAGAGAGGGGAGTAGCAGTAGGTATCACAGCTGGAGGTATGGGTAAAGGTGGGCACCTGAGAGCCTAAGTGAGGGGAACCCCAAGCAGAGAACGTGCTAGGCCAGCAAAGATGACTCTTCATTCCCCCCGAGGCCAGCAATACCACCTCTGGTCCCAAATATCTCCCAGCCCAGGGGAACTCTGCCAGGAAGAGGTGTGGAACAGTGGGCTTTGGAATCAGACAGACCTTGCTTCGAAGGCCTGCCATGCCACTTTCTAGCCGTGAGGCTCTGAACCAGCAAGTACTCTTCCAGCTTTAATTTCTTCATCTGTAAAATGGGGGTTATATCTACTTCACAGGGTTATCAAATGCACTAATGTGTATTTCAAAAGGGCTTTTGCTCTCAAGACTCACTGGCTTCAGTGCCTGCTCACTTACCAGGGCAGGTACTCCTTAGGCCTCCTCCCTCCAGCATCCATGGGCCTTCTTCCCTTTGTTCCAACTGGGAGTTCATGCCGGGCTGGGAAACTGGAAGTCCTGTTCAAGGGGAAAAACGGGCTTTAGAGATTTAGATTAAGTATAAATAGCCACCCAGAACTCAGGGAAGTGGAAACACACCAGTTAGGTCATTTTTTTCATTCATTCAACAAATATTTATTGAGCACTAACTGGGTCCCAGGCACTGGGGGATGCAGCAGTAATTAAGACAGATGAGGTGCCAAGGAGGGGTCAAGTCAAGTCAGGGAATTAAGCCCCAAAAGCAAGTTATTTAGAACAATAGGAACTTACTGAATATGGAGGAACTGGCCTGAAGGTCACCCTACCCGCCCTGGGAAATAAGAAAACAAGGAGCTGCAGTCTCAGGGGGAGCAAATGAAACTGCCTATTTCTCAAGCTGGAATGCAGAGACCTTTCACTAGGGAACCAGGAGGAATAAACACTATATAAAGTGTCAGAGCAACTCGGGATCACTCAACACTGGAAAGTGCCACAGATATTCAGAACTGAGTAGATTCTACATTTCAAATGGCTTCCTTACCCAGCAGGACCAGATTCCTGGCGTTTTCTGGTATCCCCTCCTTGAACCTTGGAGTCCCCCTTGGAGCAGGGATCAAGTGCCTCCACCCATCCTGGGTAAAAGCTACAGTCACATTGCTGAAGGGCGGGGACCCCTGAAATGACAAGCACATTCCTTCTTGCCCACTGGCCTCAGGATATGAGGCAGCTCTGGGCAACTCAAGAAAAGCATTTATTGATCACTTTCTATGTGCCTAACACTATACTGGATACTGACACACAAAAATAAATCAAATACAGTCTCTTTGCGTGTTTACAACTCTGACGGACTTTATATATAAATGGAGAGAGTACATAAACAGCTATATCTATATATAAAAGAAGGAAATGGGCAGAAACGAACAGGTGCTCAGGAACTAAAAGAGCCAATGTAGACAAAACAAAATTAGAATGTATAAATTTATGCAATGAAAAATCAGAAAGAAATGTGAAGGCTCAATTTTTCGGAGTGTTTATTAAACGTTCCTATGAACTTGGATATCACACAGTACAAAAGGAGAGCCAGACATGTATGTGAATGCCTGTAGTAACATGTCAGAGAGACAGAGAAGGAATCCTGCATGGAGGACAGAGGAAGACCACAGAGAGGAGGTGATTGCTGAGCTGGCCTTGAAGGAGAAAGGCTGTCAATGGAGAAAGAGAAGGTTATCCAAGGCAGGGGAGGCTCATGAGCAAAGGCATAGAGGTGCGAAAGGCCTCATGTCTGTTTTCAGTGCAAGTGATGGTACCTCTACCTATCTCGTGGGCCACACCAGAAACCTGGGTGTTATCTTCCCCTTTCCTGCAGCTCCCCACAATCACGGCATCTTCACCTTCCTTCACAGTATCACTAGATTTCACACATTTCTCTCCATGGCCCCGTCATTACCTTATTTGAAGCCAGCATAATTTTCCAAATTATGACCTCTAATTTACCTGGTCTTCCGATCCATCCTTCATACTAAGAAATGCAGTACAATGGGACAAAGAGGGTCTTTTTTTAAAAAACCATGAAATATTTAAAACATTTGGGTCATTTTATAATAGTCAAGAGAGTAAAATCCACCATAAAGATTTAAGTGTCATGAACTTTGTAACAAACAGTATGTAACTAATAAAGAAAACACTGTAGGAAGTACAAGAAGAAATTTAAAATATTACAGCTGTGAGATGTTAAAATAATTCAGTCATTAGCAGGGTTAATACAAAATAATCAACAAAATAAAGGTATGGAAGAACTGAGCAATTTAATTAATAAGGTTGAGCTAACAGAGCCATTGAACCCTGTGTTCTGCAATTACGCTACACCTGGCTGTTCTGGGTTGACAAAAGACACTCTGTCCCCATGCAGCACAGACCAGCTGAATGGGCAGAGAAACCAAAGTGACAATTTGGGAATATCTAGGAAAATAAGATCCACAGCCAGACATTTTCAACATAAACAAGAAAGGAAGAATATAAATTAGAAATTAAAAGATCAAATTCTAAAATAAATCTGACAAAAGTGAAAGCAAAAAAGTAAGAAAAAAAATCTGTTACTAAGAAAACCAATGAGAAAAATCCAAGAGCAGACTTTCTAAAAAGGAAAAGAAACAGATCAATACCTAGTCTAGTCAGGAAAAAAGGGTAGAAGACAGTTCCTATCCTGGTAGAAGGACTATGCAAAAGAATACACTAGAAATGATTCTGTACCATACTCTTAATGAGAAGGAGAAACATTAATCACATTCTGTAAAGTGGAAATAAAAAGAAGATTAAAAGCAGGACAAACCCATTTTGGGAAAGTAGAAAAGGAAGACTATGGGGGAACCTGGCTGGCTCAGCCAGTGAAGCGTGTGATTCTTGATCTCAGGGTTGTGAGTTCAAGCCCCACACTGGGTGTAGAGATGACTTAAAAATAAAATCTTAAAAAGCAAAAACAAAAAAGAAAAAGAAAAGAAAAGAAAGACTAGGACTGAAAAGACACAAATGAAAATGTTAAGTGTTTCATCTCTGTGGTTAATAAGTATGAGTTTTTGGGTATGTTTTCTGTGTTTTTCAGGTTTTCTACAATAAACACGAACTCCTCTTATAATTAAAAAACAGGAACAAAAAAACCCTTTAATATTAAAAAAAAAAAAAAAAAAAAGAGGCTGCCTCTCAGAGTACATTTCCAACTTACGTGGGCCCCAACTGTGAGGAGACCAGCTGCCATTCCTTCATCTCCTGTGCTTTTGTCTTGGGGAAGGGCAGTGTCTGCAGAAGGCAGCTCTGGAAGGAGAGAAACCAATGAGGCTTAAAAGGTACAGCTCACCAAGCTAGAGAGTCTCACATTCTCACTGTGAAGAAGGGGGTTCCCGGGACATTGCAGGTTGCAGGGGATTCGGGCTGAATCTGCAGACCGATTTCTCCATTCCCCTTCCTACCTCAGAAATCCCATCAGTTCACTCAGACGCAGGGAGTCATTAGAGTAACAGACTCTCAAGGAGCGTAGGTCCCCCACTTGCCAGCAGTGTGCAAATCACATAACCTTTCTAGGTCGCATTTTTCTCATCTGTAAATGGGAATGATAATCTCTTGTAAAAGTTGCTGGGAAGATGAAAGAAAAACGCAAAGTAGCTGGCACAACGCCTCGCATGTAAGCACACAGCTTACAAATATTATCTACTGCCGAGTTTGTTGGGAGCAAGTAGCTCTGCAGATTTAAGATATTTGCCAACTCAAGAAAGGTAATGACCAAGTAGGATTCATCGAAGGAACGCAAGATTAGTTCATCATATGAAAATTAATCTGCATAATATACCAATGTAATAAAAAGGAGATGACTCCACATGGATCATTTCAATAAACACCAAAAAGGCCATTCTGTAAAATCTGTCACCCTTTCCTGATACATTCAATAAACTAGGACGAGAAGAGAACATCCTCAACCTGATAAAAGACAACTACGGAAAACCCAGGTTTACATCATACTTAATAGTGGAGGACTGATACTTTCCCCGAAGATCAGGAACAAGACAAGGCTATCTGCTCTCAATTCTTTTTTTTTTTTTTCAAGATTTTATTTATTTATTTGAGAGAGAGAATGAGATAGAGAGAGCATGAGAGGGGGGAGGGGAGAGGGAGAAGCAGACTCCCCGCCGAGCAGGGAGCCCGATGCGGGACTCGATCCCGGGACTCCAGGATCATGACCTGAGCCGAAG